GAAGCAGGCTGGGTCATGGGAGTGGGCTGCTCGACGGAAGCAGGCTGGGTCACGAAAGCAGGCTGCTTGGCAGAAGCAGGTTGGGCCGTGAGAGTGGGCTGCTCGACGGAAGCAGGTTGGACCACGGGAGTAGGCTGCTCGTCGGGAGCAGGCTGGGCCGCGAGAGCAGGTTGCTTGGCGGGAGCAGGCTGCTTAGAATGTGATGCAAGCAAATGCGAGGCTTGGGCCCGGGCCCGTGCAAACTTGGATGGCACGACTTGGGCCGTGGCCTTGGTGTCGTGAGCCTTGGATGGCATGGCTCGAGCCGTGGTGAAGGCACCATGGACCTCGCCACGGGTGGCTACCAAGGTAGCCACCGTGGTGGTTCCCATGGTGGAAACTCGTGGTGGTGGTGCTGCTCCACTTATTGTCGCATTTAGCCTCACGGATCTCCGCAATCCCATTTCTTGAACATTAGAATTTTCACTTGTGGAATTTTCTAAATTTCTAGCCATTATATTTTGCTTATACGTTTTATCAAAGAACCTTTGCAAGTAAAAAATTCTAATAATAAAAACGTATGAAAAATATTCAAATGGACTAGAAAATAAAGAAAAAACCTTTTTGTGCGAGAGTCTTCTACGAGTATGGATTTCAACTCTCAATGAAAGCACCAATTTGTGGATGCAAATTTCTTCCCCCTTGATCTTGGACAAAATTGCACCTACAAAATAAATAACACCTTTAGTTATGGCCACAAGCCTCACGCGCCCACGATGAATGGGGGGGGCTTTGGCCGAAGAACCTCCGATGCCAAAGTTAGAATTTAGAGAGAAATAGTGTTTAGAGAATTTTGGGATTTTTGCAAGAGTATTGGAATGGGTTTTTGGTGGAAATGGGAGCATATATATAGGGATAGGAGGTGGCTTAATTAGCAATTAATATATTAATTAAGAATAATATATTAATTGGTTAATTATCAATATAAAGGGAATGTTTTTATGACTTTCATGGCATGATCAGCTAATCAATCAAATAGTGGTTGAAAAGATTAGCTAACCAATGTAAAAAAGGCAAATTGTGGTAGGAAATCAAAGGGAATGGCCGGCCCCCATTTTGGAGAAGGACCAACGGCTTTTAGGGTGATTTTTGGCTTTTAATTGATAATTTAATTGAAAATTAATGAGTTTATTAGGTAATAATCCCATTAATTTGTCAATTAACTCAATTTATGTGGAATATTTGGTAGGTTATAGAATGGTTATTTAATTATTTGGCTAGGAGGGAAAGTGAGGTAAAAATATATGAAATGAGATATGTTTTGAATTGTTACCTATTTTGGGCATTTCTGACTTGGTTAAAGATGTTTATTCGCTACTCGCGCGTAGGAATCCCAATGTGCCTCAAGGGTATTCTTGTCCTTTTTTATCCAAAGATCCACGTGTCGCCTTGTGATTATTTTTCGCTCCACAATAAACATGAGTATAAGTTTTAGTGGTTTGTTTCTTTTCAATATTAGAAGTTGCCACAAATTCGAATTCTTGCGTAAATTAAAAAATATTCTTGTAGACAACATCTTCTAAGTATATATGCGTGCTCCGAAATCCATAAAATGAGACATAAACGTATAATTTTCAAAAGAAAATGAGATATATGTTAGAAATAAAGTATAAAATAGAGAGAGACAAGAGAGAGACTAAGAGGAGAAATTAGTGTCTTACTCTCATTAGCGTGTCTGTTTATAGGCTCAAAGTTCACAGCAATAAGGAGCTAAAATATTAGTATATTACATATTGGCCATAGATGCATATTTGTGACAGCCACATAATTAACAATATTCGCAACAATATATGTATCCCATTTATTGTTGTTAATGAAATTTCCCTATTCACAAAAACAAAACGGATATGGCTGTCCCAAACGTAGACCTGTCAAACAGGTCATGTGTACCGTATTCATATCGTTTTCGTGTTAAATTCGTTATTTTAACAGATCATGTCATGTCAAACATGTTATCTTAACGGACTTTAAACTTTAAAACTAAACTCGACATGTTAAAATTAATAGTTTACCTACCCCGACCCGTATTACTTTTGCCCGTTTTGGACAATATATTACTTCAATAAACAATCGAATGAAAAAAAGTTATACTTAACTAACATTAACATCTAAATTCATAACTTCCTTTTAATTCAACGAGACACAATCATTTCATTTAACACCACATCTACATGCCACATAAATTGAAAGAGAGACTAAGAGAGCTAGGGCTTTAGTTTAACGGGTTAAAACAGGTTACCAATGGGTAGACCTTAATAAACCAATTATTTTAGTGGGTGCTTGAACGATTCTTGTAACATCCCACATCGCCCAGGGAAGTGGATCCTTTAAGCCTTATATGTAAATTCCCATCTCTACCTAGCACGAGGCATTTTGGGAGCTCACTGGCTTCGGATTCCATTGGAACTCCGAAGTTAAGCGAGTTCGCACGAGAGCATTCCCAGGATGGGTGACCCACTGGAAAGTTCTCATGTGAGTTCCCAGAAACAAAACCATGAGGGCGTGGCCAGGGCCCAAAGTGGACAATATCGTGCTACGGCGGAGTTGAGCCCAAGATGTGGTGGGGGCCCTGGCTAGGATGTGACAATTTGGTATCAGAGCCAATCCCACATCGCCCAGGGGAGTGGATCTTCTAAGCCTTATATGTATATTCTCATCTCTACCTAGCATGAGGTCTTTTGGGAGCTCACTGGCTTCGGATTCCATTGGAACTCCAAAGTTAAGTGAGTTCGCCTGAGAGCATTCCCAGGATGGGTAACCCACTATGAAGTTTTCATGTGAGTTCCCAGAAACAAAATTGTGAGGGCGTGGTCGTAGCCCAAAGCGAAAAAAATCGTGTTACGACGGAGTTGAGCCCGGGATGTGGTGAGGGCCCGGGCCAGGATGTGACAATTCTCGTTAAACCTCTTCTCGAAATCTTTTTTTTTTCACGTTAAATTAACATGTCGAGCATGAAATTGTCAAGTCGACCCAAAAATATCATATATATATTTTTACACTAGGGGAAGGGAGAGTTCGGTTAAGCCACACAATGGGCAGCCTAATTTGATATTGAATTCACCATCCACAAGATTCGAACGTATGACCTCTTATTTTTAAGCGAAGAGAAATACCACTGAGTATTTGAGGTATGAAATTAAAATATTTTAAAGATGTTCTAAGGAATTGAAATCAATCACAAACCTGAAAGGGTAAAATATAATTTACCCATTTTAATTCTATAAATAGAACAGTAGAGAAGGGGTTCGGTAACTATAGTTCTATAAAAGGGAAATAAAGGCCAAGAGAAAAAGAGCTTTGCATTATTTTAGGGGTGTGCTATCCACACATCCCATTTTACTTCTCACACACCTCTTGATAATTTATGTCCATTGATTTTCTTCAATTCATCTAATCCGACAGCTGAAAATTAAAAAGATGTGAGAAGTAAAATGGGGTGTGATGATATCATACCCCTTATTTAATGCAGGCAATAAACTCTTGATACAAAATTAATTGCTGGGGCTTGGAGAACCATTCCTACCTTATTCCTGTGCCTAAATAACACAGCGAGTGCTGAACACTTGGTTAGTGGTGGTCGGTTCAACCCTAATTAGTCAGGGCCTTTTTTTCAAAGGGTATCCGACCTGGCACCTGATGTTCATGCGATCACTTGATTCATTTTCATCAGAGAGCTGCCAAATACACGTTTCCAGGGTTTGACACAAATCCTAAGGAATCTAACAAATTTGAAAAAAGTTAAATATATATTTTGCGTGTGTTTGCATTGATTTTCTCTCTCTTTTTTGGCTCGGGAAAATTGTTTTAGAAATTACTTGATGTAGATGAACTTCGAAAATTAGCGAGGAAGAGAAAATACACTAGAGGATATGTAGAGGAAAATGAGATGTGAAAGTCATTTCTCCCAACACCGTGGCTGGCCTGGAAAAGACCAGGGAGAGGCACTACTACTCTTTTGCCATTGGCATACCGATTACTGAGAAATCAAGGAAAGAAAAACTTTGTCCTTAAACAAACTTATGGAACATTTTTTAGGTTAAATATTCTGCCCTCAAAACTCGTGGTATCTTTGTGTCCTATCTCATTTGTTGACATTTTATCATTCATTTAAATTTTACTTAACAATGTCAACTCTTCAAATTATCTCATGAATAAATTTTTAAAAACTAAAGATAAATAGGGTTAAAATAACACGTTTCACTTAAGTAGATAAGTCACAAGGACCACATAGAATTTTAGATGCAGATTATTTGAACTCAACATATTTATGCCCCTAACTTATAAGGGAGTTCTAATTAACTAAGCAAGGCAAATGCAGCTTCACTTATCATTTTTTTTTCAAACGATTCAATCTTTGGAACAGAGTGAAGAACAAACTGTTTGTACTTAATTTTCTCCAATTTTCACTCTTAATTTTTATTAATTTATTTTCGCTTGTTAAGTTCAAGAATATTGGATATGGAGCTCATTGAATATAAGGTATCAACAATAAGAGAATAATGAAGATACAGCTGAAAAGTCCAATGATGGACTTATAAAAGTTCGCAGATTTCCAATGTCAACCATATCACTCTAAGGCCAACTGAACAGTTGGTGTCACAGTTCAAAAAAAACAAAAGCAAAATTAAAACGAGACAAATTTCCAAAACTAAAATAAAATAAAATATAAAAAGAAACCCAGAATTTGCATACGATCATTTATATTCATAACGTAATCAAAATACGATAACAATTCAGATATTTTTCTCTCTTCGTGTCTGTTCCTCACTAAAAACTAAGCAGCAGAAACAGTTTCCGCTAACCTTCTTTAAAATAAAATAAAAACAGAAACCCTAATTTTAGTTGGGAAGAAAAATAGAAAGATGCATGCAAACTGGTTACATCCATACCCTTCTGTTTTCTAGCTATCTTAAGCTACCTTATCATATGGGAACATTTTGCAGGAAGCTATATAGGAATGATTAGTTTTGGAACCTGGCTGCAAACTCACCCATAACCTCAGGGTACTGGAACATGTTATCCACTCCCATGGAGTGATCTGAGCCGCCGCCCAACGGCACGTGATCGTTGTAAGACGGTACTGCCTGTGGCTGTGACACTTGCTGTTGTTGATGATGATGATCCATTAATTCGTTGAAACTACGTCCTTCCAGCTTGTGCGGCTGAGGCAGCGGCAGCAGCTCTTGGAAATTGTAACAAACATTTACCTGACGGTGATCGTTTTTTGAGTATCCTCCAACGGACCTCGTCGAAGACCCATCAAAGCAAGGTGTCTGAGCTGCACTGGAAGGATGGGCGTAGTCGTCAGTCCATTTGGGAACATCGTTTGATAATTTCTTGGAGGTGGGTTTTGGGAAGAAGCGGTGGATCACCTCTTCTAGAAACCCGGAATCGGACGGCTCCGTGGGGAAGAAGTCGGAGGAGTAGTCGTGTTGATCGTCGTGGGAGGTGGGTTTTGTGGGAGGAGGTGAAGTAATATCCATGAAGGGAAGAGTTGTAGTAGCAGAAGTAGGAGTAGTAGCCATGGAAGAAGAAGAACCAGTAGTGAAATTAGTACTTCCGGAGATGTTGGCTTCATGGCGTGGACCAGAAGAGGGATGGTTGACCAAAGAAGCTGAAGAACAAGAAATAGAAGAAGAGCCGTTTATGTTGTACGGATACTGGTTATTGTAAACGGGAGATGGATTTTGTGAGGGATTTATGAAATTCCGGAGGAAAAGCATGTTGAAAGAAGTTGCAGCAGCAGTAGTAGCGTCGCCGTAGCCATCGTTCTGATTAGGAGATGGGTATTGCAAAAACGGTACAGAATTCCAACTAGGAGAGTAGTTAGCGCCTCCGTAACCATTACGGGTTTTAGCAGACGGGTGAGAGTGCATGTGGTGGCTGAAAGGAGGGAAGGGGTGATCGGCGACGACATCGGTAGGCGGGGAAGGAGGATAGACGAAGTTGGTCCGAGCCTTGACGCCGCGCATGGCACGAGCGGCGCAGTCGTAGGCGCAGGCGGCTTCCTCTGCCGTGTCAAAGGTCCCCAGCCAACGCCTCTCTTTGGACAGCGGGTCCCGGATCTCCGCCGCGTAACGACCCCACGGCCTGCGTCGCACGCCGCGGTATCTCATTGCGCCCGAGGCAGCGGCTGTCGCAGTGTCTCTCAGCGAGCGCTTATTGGTGGCGGCGGTCGTTGACTTCCTTTGCGCTTTAGTGATCGGGTCGGGTTCAGAAGAGTGAGTGAATTCGTCCATCCTTCTGATCGCTTCTTCCATTTTTGTTGTGCGAGAGATAAAAGGGTATCTGTGATATTATGTGCGTTGGGTTTGTTGATGATGATGATGATGAGTAGGAAGAGAGTTGTGGGAGGTGTATTTATAGCTGGAGATCGATTAAGGAGCTGGAAAGTGACTGATTTTTAATTTTCATTCAATTCTAGGCATGTACAAATTTTTATGGAGTATTTGAGCCCAAATCACTAGATGTACTATTTAACGTTTTATAATAAGATGGTGGTACTCGAGCAATATTTTTTTTTTATCTTTTACATAGTTTTTTTTTTTAATTTTTTGTTCATTAAACTTTTTCAATTTATTCAATTTAACGATCCTTTAAATTCTGAGAATAATGTGTAGTGTTGTAAATACTTCATACATTAAAAGTTGTTTGCATGTATATGGTGGTGGAAATGCAACACAAAATTTGAAAAAGGAGAATCATCAGGGTTGGTTTGAATTTTTCAGAGTTAAATTCTAACGACTAGGATGTTCTACTGGCAAATTCTAACGACTAGGATGTTCTACTAGCCCAACCGTCTCTGACGCAGAGGTCGTGGTCATTTCTTCTCTTTGTTCATATTTTCGACCCAGAAGTTGTTGGATGGATGAAAGTCGGCGTAAGAGAACCAACCCCTACGGTTTGCTTAGACAAATTGCCACTAACATAGAAGATATGAAACTAGTTTTCCTAAAGAAAAATTACATTTGGATTAGAGTACCCTAAACCCTAGTTTAATTCTTGAGTGTAATATATGAATTTAATGAATTTTTTTTATAACGTATAAAAGTGTCACAATTGTTAACTCAAATTAGTTCAATAACAATACGTTTTAAAATCAAATTCAAACAGCTTGATTTGTGCATACGAGATGCAAATTCACATACACTACTATAAAATTTCTAAAACATCATTTTTATTAGAGAAAATTGAAGTATTGGTTCCTAAACCTTGACTGAATTGGAACTTTGCTCTATAAAAATGTAGAGCAGTAATCCTGTTTGGTAACTCCCCTACAACATTTGTCTCTTATTTATCATATTATTTAAGGAAAATTAATGAAAATAGTTTGAAAACTTTGAGTTTTGATAGGGACAAAATAAAGGGTAAAGTGAATAGTACCATGATTGACTTTTTAGTGTAAAAATATGGTTTTTCATTAAAGTGAACAGTACCAGGAGTTTTTCGTTAAAGTTCCCTATTATTTAATATGAGCATTGTTTCATATTATAACACATTAAGAAATAACATTCACGAATATTTAATTCATAAGTGATGTTCCAGTTGAACCAAAGTTCAAACACCATGCTTCAATATTTCTCATTTCATTTTATAACTTTTCAAGAAATAATTTTAATTTTTTTTTGTTAAGGAGTTTTACACCCATGATAAATAATAAAAAAATTTATTTTCATTACATATTCTTGTTACGCGTCGACATTTCTTGTGATAGCTGAGAGTAACAGGTGGATAAATTTTTCATTGTAACCGAAACACGAGTGGTACATCACGTGTTTTTATAGAAGTGGTGGGAAATTTTATTTTTTAAGTTATTAACATTTTAACACAGATATCCCACAATTTGTATAATGACACGTGATATATTACTCAGTATACCGATCACACTGAAAAATCTCTCGTAACAGATGGAGAGTAAATATCTTCGGCAATTCCAAGAGCAAAGAATAAAAGTAGAGTATAACTAATGATTTTTTATTTCTAAATACTTACCATCTCCAACGGAGATGTTAAATCTTAATTAGAAAGTCATGTAATCAAATTTGAAAGTAGGAGCAAGTTTTAACCGATATATCAATCTTATGTGTATTGACATATGAGAAAAGGTAATGTTAAATAATTTTTAATTATTTTATTGTGTGGATCCCATTAATGGACTAATTATAAATCTTGAAATTTTATTTTAATTAATTTCTTTTCAAAACAGGTCTAACAAATATCATTTATAACAAAAAAAAACATATCGGTTAAAAAAAATCTGATATTATTACGTTAGTCATCAAATTAACATTTGATATTTATCTTTGATCTTATATGACAGAAAAATAAAAAGGGGAAGTAAGAATATGATTGATGTAGATTGTATATTTATGATATTGCCGTAAATTAAAGGTTGCTTTTCAACCTCAACTTTTTTATTTTAATTTCCACTTAAAAAACCTGGAACACTAGTAACACGAAGGAAAGCAAAGAACCAAACGAAACCACATTTCCGGAAATGGATATAACATGCACATGACTCCATCCAACAGGCAATGAAACCGCGAAAGAGCCTGGAGTTCTGGACAAGCATATAAAAGTAGCTGCTGCTACCTTCTAATTTTTAATAAATTAAGAAATATAAATTATAGCCATAGGGAGTTGGAGAAGAAGATGATTTATATAAAACTGTTTCATAGTCAAAACGGTGTTTCAATTTAATAATATAATTTAATTCATGTTAAAAAGATTATCTCTTTGAATTATATTTTATAAATCGTCATATCATAAGTCTAAAAAATATAATCTAAAAACAAGAATTATATATTTATATATATATATATATATCATTTTATATGTATTTACATTATTGAAATTATAACCTCATGTGAAGGGTGAGACCGATACGTGCACAGGTGGTCTATAGAACAAGAGTTCTTTCTCTACTTCTTTGTCCATTGTGATTGACATTCTGAATGAATACACTGGCGGCGCTCAGAAGTTGTTCCTCCTACTTTGGTTTTTGTTATTTTTTATTGGTTTCATGCATGTTGGCAAAATTTTCCATATTTGCTGTTCCCAAACTTTCAATGGCTTCTCCTGGTTTTTGCATTAGCGTGATGAGTTAGGGTTTGAAAACCAAGGATTTAATGGTCACATGGACTTGTCTGATATATAGTTAGGGTGTTTTTAGGTTCTTTATATAAAGGAAAAATTAGTTTCCGGTCCCTAGTTTCTAATGTCCATTAACTAAGACCTTATCAGTTTTTAGATTTTGATCAAAGTCCCTATCATTAATATATTAATGAATTACATGTAAGTTACATAATTTTTATAAAAAAAAAATAGTAATTGATTTAGAGTTTTAATACTCACACCCTTATTAAACTCCTAATTAATTTTCAATTCAAACATTTCCCAAATAAAAATAAATAAAATTAGAATAAGTTTGTACCCATTAAATTTTTATAAAAAAATTTCAATTTTTTAAGCTTATATGTATCCATTCTTAAATATATCAATTTGTTAAAAATGTACCCTTTTTTAATTTAAAATGTATCCTTTTTTTTTATATAAAATTTCATTCAATCTTTTCTCTAATCTATTTTTAAACTTATATGGATACATTCTATTTTCGTTGATTTGAGAATGTATCCATGTCAAGTTTAATAGAAGAAATTTAATAATGTTATTAAGGCTTTTTTTTTTGTGCTTTTGAAAAATGTACCCATGCTTTGGTACAATAATTTTTTGGTTAGTTTTGATGAACGTACCCATGTATACACACACACACACACATATACATATACACACACACACAAAATATATTGGAGAGTATAATTAATCTTTAATATTTTTAATCCCAGAAAATATGGGTTTCATTTAAAATCTCATTAATATAAATAACTACAAATTTTATTTTTAATTTAAAAATATAATAACCTACATAAAAATACATTATTACATTAATGTGAGGGACTTCAATCAAAAGTTAAAAACTACCAAGGTTTCAATCAAAGAACATTGGTAGTTAAGGACCGCATTTAAAGTGTCCCTTATATAAAAGGGTTTTTGTTATTAGAGTATTTTTACCCATGTTAAATCAATATGTCTAGATTCCAAATCCAACTAAAACGACACCTCCACCCATTTTGGGGTCACCAAGGCTAACCAGTCATGGTTGGCGCCATGTTGATTCTAAGTCTAAGTCCAAATCCAGGGCATTGACGTCAGCGAGTCCACATTATTATTATTTTTTTTTGGCACCAAGCGTGCGCTACACGTTCTCACCTAGGAGAATGGCGCGACAAAAACTAACGCTTGGAGCCTGCCACAACAGTCGGTTGGGCATCCAATGGTCACTAGCCACGTGGCCACATCTCAGATGTCCATTTCAAATTCTTACTTTTAATCCAATGATTCTTACAATTATTATAGTCACCTATTCTAAATTAATTTCATCTGTTCAATAATTTGCTAAATAATTGAATTGTACATTAAAAATAAATAACTCTTGTGAATAGTAACATTCATAAGTTATCCAAATTCACGTGGAAATGCTCTTAGCCTTCTTTTATTAAGTTTTGTTTTATTATTACCGTCTGTTTGGTTGTTAGATGGAGACTAAGAGTGTGTTTGTTTGGCTGGACTAAGTCTCACTGGACTGAACTAGAATAAAAATTAACTTAATCCAATGTTTGTTCCTTGGAAGGACTACTTTTTATGGGATTAAGTCTCTCTGACCACTTTCCTCTTCCAATTCCTCTTCTTCCTTTTCTTCGATTTTGTTGCAGATCGTGAATTATTATTATTGGGTTTGATCCATTTCGTTATTTGGGTTCGAAAAGCGTGAAAATTTTGAGCGGCGCCGGCGTGTCTGATACCGTGGCGGATGAGAATCTGAATCTGAATCAGAATAAGAACCAGAGTGTTTCGGATGATCTCCATGTAAAAAATGATTACGGCGATGAGGTCAAGACGACGAGTGAGTTGGCTAGGCCCATTGTTGCAGTGGCTGCGAACAGATGAAGAGATGAAGAGAAAAGTTAAAATAAAAAAAGTAACAAAAAAAATTGAGGGGTGCAACATATGAAGAGAAAGTAACAAAAGAAATATTGAAATTAACTTTTTTGAGCCAAAAAGTATTTTAGTCTGGAACATAGTTTAGAACTACACCAAACACTTTATTATTCTTATTCTGCTTAGTTCAAGTCAAGTCAGTTCAGCTTAATCCCTTAAGTTAGTTCAGTTCAAGATAATCTGGTACAACAAACGCACCATA